TACAACCATTGTAATTATCATTTAAAATTAAACTGGCCAAATTTAGCAACTGTGAAGAGTTGCAGGTGCTAAATCCTTGGAAGGCTTGCAGTGATCACACAACAAATATCTCTCAAGCTGGCATCTCGTGGATGCTGGGATTTTTCTACATTTTCTTCTGCAATAATGTAGTGACGTGAGAAGTCAACGAGAGCAGCAGCAGCACTGTGAACTCTCTGCCCTGGTTTTGGAAACAAATACAGCTCTTGCAGGAATAACAGACCCCAGAACTTCAGATGTGATGGCTCTGCTGGGTTACTAGGGAAGGGAAGACTCAGGGAGCAGCTAGAAATGGTCACATTACACGTTTGACCTCCTAGTAACATTTCTTATTCAACCATATCATCAAAAAAAGACAAAATAGAGTTGCTATAACTGCTGGCAAAGCACAGGTAGGATCCTAATAAATGCAGAATCACTAGGCAGCATTTTCTGGTCTCTAGGAAAAGGCAAATAACTTACAAATATTTGCAAAGGGAAATAATGGATCCTGAGGTTGGCTCGGTTGGTCAGAGCATGGTGTTGAGAATGCCAGGATTGTGGTTTTGATCCAACTATGGGCCATTCACTGAAGATTGAGCCTTGGGAGTTCCTTTCAACTCAGAATATTCTGAGTTCTGTGAGTCAATTCAGGAGTTGCTTTTCAGTCACCTACCAGAACAATACTTGAAGAAGGCAAAGGGCAGGCTGCTGTCAGGGAACTTAAAACTTTCAAAAGGCACCAAGATAGCAGGCACGGAGCTTAGGCTGAAGGGACGTGCAGAGTTCCAGAGTCTCTGGTGGAGAGCAGCACTCTCTGAAGCTCTGAGGATGTTTTTACAAAGCAGCAAACACAAGGGGCTGAGGTAATTGCTGTTGCTTCCTGATGCAGGATCTGAGGAGTGGAAGCTGCGCCTTCCCCATGTCCCCAGCAGGCAACTGCTGGCTCTGAGCCCTCAGCTCAGCTCTCCCAGTGCCTCTGCACTGACAAAACCCTAGCACAGCTCTCCTGGGGAACCTGCAGGCACCAGAAACCCTTCCCACAGCTCCTGAGAAATTCCCAGCTTGGATGCAGAAGTGATGCTCCAGCCTCTCCCCTCACACAATCCTGTCCATTTTCCCAAATGCTTGGACAGAAGCAGCTCGGAGCCAGCTGAAGCACAATGTTTGGTGTTAAATGAGCCATCGTTCCCTTCTGTCACTCCACATCCATGAGGCTCTAAATCTGTGAGGTGCTGGAGTAGATGCTGCAGGAATTTCCGTGCCAGTCAGTAGGAGCTCTCAGAGTCTGTCCCACGCTCAGGGGAGCTGCAGTTCTGCAGACATCAGAAAGAGCTTTGGCACATTTTTGAGCTTTGGCACATTTTGAAGCTTTTGGAGTGGAATTCTGTAGGACCTTCAGCCAGCTGCTAAGTACTCTGCTAGGAAGAGCCCTTCTGAAGACACTAAAAGGCTCCCTGGACATTGGATTTTTGCTGGCATACACTGCAGCAGCCAGGAGATAAGGGAAGGATTCCTGGGGATTAAACAGCACACATGAAGGAACACACGAGGGTGAGGGCTGCTACAGAGCTGTGGCAGAAGGAAATGATCCACAGGAGCACACTCTGCTTTCTCCGACTTCTCTGATTTATGTCAGGTGCCTTGGCCAGAGCTGTCAGTGCTCAGAACACCGCAGTATTTTAGTTATTAGTTATTGATTGTAGGCTTTCAAGCATCTTGCTGTAAAATCCAAAGTCAGGACAGCAGGAGAGACAGAATTCCCCAAGATCTGAGTTTGAAAAGCAGGAAGGACAAACAGAATGTATCCAGGCAGTTCTGGCATGGGCTGTGGGGGTGTGTCTGTGTTTGCTTCCACGTGCCTCTGCTGCTATTCCTTATGGACTGGGCTGAGAGCAGACCTCAAACAATGCAATTTAATTCCACAGTGTGTGCACAAAGCGTTGTGCTGTCTCCAGAGTGCTCAGAGTCACCACGGGAAGGACAGCAAGGCACAGCCCTGTGCGTGGGACTGCACCAGTCCAGGATTTGCCTGCCCGTATCCAACGTGCAGGGAGATGGAAGGGATTGCAAGAAAAAACATGGCCATCACTTAAATGATTTCTTTTTCTAGAGGCTGGTGATTTTGGAAATAAAATGAAAATCATCAGCCAAAACCAGGAAATCTCCCAGAACTGTGACCATTATAGTTGAAGTTATAACTGTACTTTATAACTGCCCATATAAAGCCAGGATATTTAGTGATCTTTATTGTAGCCACTAAAAATTCATGCTTTTAAACACTTATCTTTAAAGCCTGACAGATCAAGCTATTTAAAAGCTGAGCTTAAGCATCTGGATTGATTATAGAAAGTTCATTCATAGGATTTCTGTTGGAGGGGAGCTCACAGCACCAACCTGGGACCGACGTATTCAGAAAACCCACACAGACACTCAGCTCCATTGTGAAAACATAATCTAAATAGTAAATGAAAAGTCATAAATAATTCAAAAATGTACACACCCAAAGTCTGTAATTCCCGCAGGGAATAAGCCAAATCTGAAACCATTCTGAGTTCCCTGAACTCTGACAGTTCAGGTAAAATAGTACAAAAATAAAAATCACACCTCATTTTGGTTAAAAGCCACAAGTCCTACGCTTTGAAAATGAATTGCTCTGAGTATAACTACACTCAGGGCAATGTACACACACAGCTGTTTGATCTGCTCCAAGGAAGTCTCTGAAAGAGATGAGTTAAAGGTCTGTGAATGACAAGTTAATAATTCCTCAGAGTTATTTTCTGATCAGTCAGGAATTATTTAAGCCCAATATATGCTCAGCACCAGAAGCAGGTGAGTTTTCCTGCAGCTCGATGTTTCCATAACAATAAGGCAGAGCCAATTAAAAGCCAGTTAATCATGGACATTACTTTGAGATTACTTAGATATATTTATACCTTAAATATAATCAATCAAATTAACAATAATAAAATATGAATAAAACTAGTTCTCAGGTTAGCAGCATGTCCAACTCCCCTTGAGCAGAGATTATAACCACATTATTTAAAGCCCCAGTGCTGTATCCCAGCAGTCCTGTGTGATCTCACTATTTGAATTCTGCAGACTTCAGCCCCTGATGGGCACAGATTGAAGTGCCAGCGATCTTACTATGAAACAAAAATAGTGCATTGCCATGGTCTGCTTTCTCCTGTGCTTGTTCAGTATTTTATACTCCATCTTTAAACAAAGCAAAAAGCTTTCAGTAGTTCTGGAAGGATTATGTGAATCAGTGAAATATTTAAAGTAAAATATTCAGCTTCTTTACATGTTGCCATCCTTTGTGTTTGACAGTGTTTCATATAATTTTCTTCCTTGACTAAACTAATGGAAGAGTTTACTTGTTAGGGGAAAAAAAATTAAAACCAGAGTAAAATCCTATTTCTGCCTTAAACAGTTTGCAATATTCAATGGCAATTTATCCTTGCAGAAACACAAAAGTTCCTTCTCTACTGCTTAGCATCAGTCCACAGGAAAAAACTACCTGCAGGTAGTGCCAGTTTTCTTCTCCTTTTTTCCTCATTCTGAGGTGCTCATCATCTTCTGCAGCATCACACTGCCCTCTTTTTCCATCCTTTGCTGATGGATATTAGTTCTGTGCAGCTTGTCTGGGAGAGCACTATTATGAACAGATTAATGCAAAATTCCAGAAGAGAAATGGAATCTGTTGCTCTTGATTCAGAGGCAAGCGGGGAGGTGAAGAAGACATAGTGCCAACTCACTGTGACATTAATTAAATAGCAGTGGGATTAATCATTTTGAGCCTGTTAGGAAATTTATTCTTAAGCCCTTTTATATTAGCCAGCAGTTATAAGGCAGGAATTTGCTGCTACAAAACAGACAAGTAATACAAAATTCCTGTCAAAAAGGTGACTCTCCTTGTAATCAGCAGAAAGCAAATAGGAAGTCTGAGAAATGCTCTCTCGAGCACCTTCTAATAAATACATTGGCTTAATAAATAAACCACCGACACTTTCTCTGAAGCTGACAAAAATACCTTATTCATTGCTGTATATTCTTCTGTTTGGAGCTGCTCCGTGTGGAAAATCAGACAAATAACAGCAAGGCTAACAAGCAAGAGACTCAGCAGGCAAGTGAAGGGCAGCACTCTCAAATGCTGATTAATAATTGCTCCAGTCTGAGGCTTGTGAAACCAGAGGATGAGACAGTTCTGAGATTTGTCATGTCTAGAAAGTTCTACCTTCCAACAGCCAAACACTTCAAAATAGCTCCTCCTGAGGACAGGGTGGTGACCTGGGGATGGTGGATGGGGAGAACATGAGTGAAATCTAAAAATAGTGTTATGCTGCCAAGTGTAGTGCTATAAAGAAATGCCAGTTGTTTTCTATATGAGCTTGCATGCAAGCTGCCATCTTAATTAAAAAGGCAATTCATTTATGAACTGCTATAATGAGAAGTTCATCCCAATATCTGGAGAAAATCAAGGAGAAACAGTGGAGAGGTTGTTCCTCTTGGTGTTTCTCACCTGGTTCCCCCTTCACCAGGGACAGACACATCTTCTTGTCTCACTGAATGTACAGATGATTGCTATATAGGAGCTGCAAGATACAGAGATGGTTGTGGTGAGGGCACATAAATTAGTTTTGCTTTATAGAGGGCAACAGGAATGCAAAAGGGGAGAAAGTTGATGTAGCAATGCCAGTATTTAAGTGTAAAATATATAATAAATTTAGTATTTAAAATTCCTGAATGGCCTGCCTGCACTCAGTGATGAATGAACTCCCATTGTGCACAAGAGCTAAGCACTGATTTTCTAACAGCTCCTGATACCTCACTTCATGCAGCACATTGAAAAATGTACTTCCTTTCCACAGAGTCTTCTGGAGTGAGCCCCATTTACCACAAAAGGGGGGAAACTCAGCTTTGCAATGCTTGGGCAAGAAAGGAAGAGCTCCAGAGCCTTCAGTTTGCTGTGTTTTGTGCAGGTGAAAGGCACCTTGCTCGGGGAGCTGCGGCAGAAGGTGGAGGAGACAGAAATGCTGAAGATGGAGCTGCAGATGTTGGAGACAGAGAGGACTCGGCTGTCCCTGGGGGAAGAGAAGCTCATGGATGTTCTGCAGCTTCTCCAGCAGCTCCCAGCCTTGGTATGGTGAGAAGGCAGTCCTGGGGCTGAGAACTGGGTTTGTGGTCCTTTCCAAACTGAGAATATATTCATCCCTTCTATGAGGTAGAAAATCCTTTGCAGCAAGACAGAATTTTACATGTGTGTGCCCTGGGAGCCTGGTGGTTGCAGGAAGCTTTTAGATCCCTTTGACTGGCTTTCTAAAAGCCTAGAGAGCTCCTTGGGGCTGAACCTTCAAGCTCATTATCCTCTAATCCAAAATTGAGAGTAAACGAGAAAAACAAAGAACTGAGAAGTCAGGAAGATTCCAGAATATGTATTTTTCCTTCTAGATCAGGATCTTTGTTTATCTGCCTGCTAATGTAACTCTGAGTCAGTATTAAAGAGATAAAACTCCCAGAAGAATTTAGCAAGAATCCCTTAAATCCCTGGTGGGATATCCCTAAGAAACCTTCCCCATCAGAACCTGTGGGATTAGCTGTCACTTTCCCAGCACATTCACCCTCATGTCTGAACTCTCTCATTCACATCAGAACCTACCACCGGGCAGTGACTGTCCAAAGGCACACACACATCCTGTCAGCACTAACAAAACCTCACACTGTGCTGCTGAGGCCATGTGAATCCATGTGAAATTCCCAGACTGCTTCCCGCTGTGCCCCAGTCCCCCCCGGGGCAGCCAGGCAGGTGGAAGAGGGAGCAGGGCCAGCTCTGCCTGGGGGTAACAACATCTTCCTCCCAGCATTGCTCCCTTCCACTTCCACTTCTCAAAGTTTTAGCAAGAACAGCCTGTCCCTGCAGGCACGGGCTCTCTAAATGCTAATTAAACTGATTGCAAGACCATCTTCCAGAAAGCACATGAGCGTCTTGACAGCAAATTAGGAGAGTTTGCTTTTCCAGGCACATTATGTAATGTCCCACCAGATTTCTTGTGTAAAAGCACCACTGAGAGAAACCATCCAAGTTCTGAGTCGTTTTTACAGTGCTCTCACTTTGGCTAATGTTTATTCCATCTCAGATCCAGCCCTGCCACAGCATATTTGCTCTGTCCTTCAGCTGAGTCTGAGAAGACCCTTCCTAAAATAACACCACCAGGTCCAGTTCACCTTCCCCACAGAGCTGGCAGAGGACTCAAAGAGCTTTTGCTCTGCTTACCCTCCTTGCCATCTAGGAGAACTTTGGGCACATGATCTGGAAAATTCTGTATTTTCCACTGAATAGTTGTTACTTCTCTTTCTACAGCCATATTAAGGTATTACAACCCCTTACAAACTGCTGTCTTCTGAGCACAGTCTAAGATAAAATGCTTGAAAATACAGCAAATATCAAGTCTTGTGTTAATCAGGATTCAGTGTCATTTTGCTTTAGTTTCCAAGTGCAAATACCTTGCACATAGGTTCTGTTGCATATCTGTAAAATGGTGAAGGACATATTTGTGCCATAATGTTGTTTTGTTTTTTTAAAGAACATATCTAAGCGAGCCTTGGGGAAAATCCTGCTGAGCACTTTGGAATCCTGCCATGACTCCCCAGCCTGGTAAGAAAAGAAATCACATCTAAAGACCAAGAAACATGAAACATGTTTTGTGGGACAAACACTGAGTAATACACAGATGGGTAGGAAAAGGATATTTCAAATCCTGGGGTCCAGGCTGGGGAGAAGGAGGTAGTTTGCAAGAAGATTATCTATAGAAAGTGATGGATTCTAGTCTGTAATGCATCAAAACCACACCCAGGGTACTTTTTTAGTAAAATTTCAATTAAAATGTGGCCTTTGAGGGGTAATTCAGTATCTTACAAATGTTTGTAGGGTTTCATTGATAGAAGAAAGTGGAAAAATGACCAAGTGTGTAAGGCTGCTGTTTCTCAGGTTTGCTACTCCAGTGTGTTGGTGCTCTTCTGCTGCAACGCAAGATTTACCCATCAGAACAGTTCTGTACAAACCAGATCAAACCTGCACTCCTCTAATAACGGCATTTTGTGCTCCTTGTGTGAAAATTGAATTTGCAAACTCCTTTTCCTTTCCAATGGTCTGGAGCTGCCTTTGCAGGAGCCGTGCAGGGATCACAGCCCCAGGGCTTTGGTTTGAAAACTTTGTTCCTATTAGCAGAACATTTGTACTTACCTCCAAGGAATGAACATCCTGTCCCAGGAACATGGCTTGGAGGTGCTTTTAATAGGCAGGCAGCAGACAAAGACAAGATTAGAAAAGACCAGATGTGGCCTGGGTGCTTGGTTTTGGAGAATACTATTTACAGGGATTTAGGGAGAATAGCATGGGAACCCTTCTGGGGTTTGCATTTCAAAGCCTGCTTTTCCTCGTGCCCAGCAATCCAGGGCACAGGCAGCCCAGAGCCAAGCTGTGCCCTTCAGCTGCAGAGGAAGCAGAGAAAAGAGGGCCAAGACTGACTTTTGTGGCTTCCAGGACACCAATAGAGAGAGAACCACAGCTGAGCCATGGCTTGATGTTCTCCTGGAGAACAGAGGAGGCTGTTTGGGTCCACAGCACAGTGTTCAGAAAGTGCTGCCAATTGTCCTGCACAGAAACAGGGACTCCAAGGGATGCTGCTCAAAGTTCCTCCCTTTGAAACAGCAGCACAGCTCAGCTCCCTAAAGCTCCAAGTGCTGCTGTCTGTCCATTCTGCATCACCACTGCCATACACAGCTCACCTGCTCTGCTTTCCACTGTCTGTCTGTGCACCTGGAGAGAGTTGAGCAGCTTTCCCAAGTCTTTGTAATCAAACGTCTTTCTCTGACAAGCCAAAGTGGATGGTTGGGTTGGCAATGGTGCTGTGAAATAGTCTTAGTTCACACAGGTATATGGGGCCCCAGTGGGCACGGAATGAAGCAAGAGAAAAACAGAGAAGACAGTTGAACCCAGATTTGCTCACGTTTTTTATAGACAGGAATTCATTATTTGGTTGCAAAATTTAGACATTTTATGATAACCACTTGAAAGGTGTGATAGGTTGACTTAGGAAGAAGAAACTCAGAAGAGATTCTTCCTAAGGGAATTTCCTCTGTGGGGGTTGGGATACCTGCAACAGCCAATTAGAGAAAGTTAGTTTGCTCCGTGAACACACATTTTGAAGGAGGCAATCCGGAACTGAGTCTCTTTTTCTTTCTGGCGGCTGAGCAGGTAACACCAACCTGAGCTTTCCCCTCCCCCATACGGGGGGGGAGGCTCGGGAGGCCGCTTGGGCCCCCTTTGCCAACGAGGGGGACCCGATGGCCAGAGGGAGAAAAAGTTGTGTGATAAGACCTTCACAGCTTCCTCCTCCACGGGCCTGCGGCTCTGGCGTGGGGGGAGGCCGACTCTTGCTACTGTTGGATGGGCCGGGCCTGCCCGGGTGGCCATGAGCAGTGTGGGGCTGCAGCCCAGCCCCAGAAAGGCTGATTAACACCTCAGCTGCACCCCCTGAGCAGCCTGAGCCTGGCCCAACTTTTGTAGTTGTGTTAAACCTTAACTCTTTAGTGCTCAGATAAGATTTGCAAAGCCTCCAGCCTTTCCTTTGAATATGAAAGAGAATAAGAAGATTTCTGAAGTCAGTGACGTAAGAGCTAAGTTTTTAAGATGGAAGGAGAATGAGAAGATGCTGAAATGGCTGAAAATCTTTTTGTGAAATTGTAGGAATGAACTGATGTACTGAATATTCCTATAAACCATGGAAAGAGACATGGGGGGATGGAAATGTTCCATTTAATAGATGATTTGACTAAAGAGCACCTGTGTTGAGAATTTCTGCCCTGAGAAAAGAAGGGGATTTCGGTTTTCTGAAGATGAAGCCTGAGCAGAGAGAAAGGAGACAGAGAGAATCTTTGCTGTCGAACATTTCATTCTTAAAAGTAATACCCCATGAGACAGACATGGCCCACATCTACAACTTTGGGACGGCTGTAGAGTTGGGAGGAGCGTCACAGTTGCAGGTTCCCGGGCGGATGCAAATCGTGAAAGATAAAACCACGAGAGAACTGTCTTTTTCCTTCTTGTGGGAAAAATCCCTACAACTTCAACAAGAAGAGGCTTCTCTCTCCAGGAGTGAACTGAGAAAGACTAAATTGGGCACTGACTGAAGTATTTGTTATATGTTTGTTTTGTTGTTATGAAGATTGGGAGAGGGAGGGAAGGAGTGATCTAAAAAATCTTATTCTGAAATTTTTTTTTTCCTCTCTTTTTTTTTGTGTAGTTAATAAATTTTCTTTTATACTCTCTCAAGTTTTAGGCCTGCCTTGCTCTTTTGCTCCTGGTTCTGTCTCACAACAAGAAAAATAAGTTTATTCAAATTGGCAACTCAAACTCAAGACATTAATTTGGTGCGTTGGCCGGGAAAGTCAAAATTAAACCAAGACAAAAGGGCACCTAAGAATAAAAGAGTCTGTTGTGGTTGTGATACTGCAACTTCCTTACTTTGTTGAAGTCTAATGTTTGCAATTTTCTTTCCCAGGGCAAAGCCCAGCTGTTAGAAGTGCTGGACACCCTTCAGCAGGAGCTGACAGCCTGTGAACTGTTGCACAAGTAGCCCTTGGAGCAGACACAGAGCCCACAGTTCCTGTCCAAGCCCCTGGTGATCTCCTGCTGAGCCCAGCCAGCCCAGGACAGCTGGAAGGAGGAAGGAAGGACGTTTGTCCAGCTCAGCTACAGCTGGACTGGCCAAGGGAAGACCACCAGCTCTGGGATGAGCACAGCCCTGCAGAACTGGACTGCAGACCCCAGCCCTGGGGTGCCCCTGGGACTGGACTGGAACAAACCAAACTGTGCCCGTCCCACTTACCTAACCCACATGGATTTATAGCCCTGAAAAGCTGGGCCTGGAACAAAGCAAACTGTGCCCACCACACCCACCTGACCCACACACATTCACAGATCTGGCTATGCAGGGGCTGGGCACAGTTTGCTTTGTGGAAGCCCCACTGCAAAGCCAAGGCAGCCTGTGTTATCCCTGGGTTTGTTGTCCCTTACCCTACAAGTGACAAACAGTGATAAACACACCCAGGATTGTGTGCCAGCAGTGCAGGTTTTAAG